AGTGCGGTGCTGATAACACCAAGGCCCTGGGTTTGTATCCCATATAGGGATGGCTGGTTCTCTCACTGGCTGAGCGTGGTGCTGACAACACCAAGTCAAGGGTTAAGATCCCCTTACCGGTCATCTTTAAAAAAAAAAAAAAAAGAATAAGTTAAAAAAAATTTCTTTGTGAACAGAAGAATACTCAATATCTAAATTAGAAAAGAATGCCCAAGAGAGGTTCTCCAATAGTTTTCAGGGAAGTCCTGATTCCAGGATTATTCCTGAAAGAAAGACAGCAGACAGGCATTTTTCATACTGAAGACAAGTGCCTTTGCTCTTAGAGCTGTATGGTACCAGTCACGAAGTAGGTGCAGCTAATTTCTTGCCTAGATTTCAAAACTCCATGACTGGGTTTATTTATTTATTTATTTATTTATTTATTTATTTATTTATTTATTTTCTGGCAGCTGGCCAGTATGGGTACCCTTGACCTTGCTTTTACAAGGCCACGCTCTAACCAATTGAACTAACTAGCCAGCTTAGGTTTTCTCTTTCCATTTTTCTTTTTTTTTAAAATTTATTTATTAATATTATTATTTTTTTTACATTCAATGATGTTGTGAAGCAGTTGAGAGGGAGGGGGAGAGGGGAAAGGGGAAGGAAATGGGATGGAGGAAGGAGGAAGGAGGAGGGGTGGGGTTGAGGCCTGTGGCACCCCCCTCATTCCCACAGGGGAGACCAGGGGGCTTCCAGTGGTGACTCAGTCATTGCCGGGCTGGGTGCAGATGTCAGGGGTGTGTGGCTAAAGCCCTAGCCCCACACTATGCCAGCTTGTGAGCCCAGGGCACTTCTTGTGGCAGCTTGGTGGTCACCACTGGGCTTGGTGGTCACCACTGGGCTGGTTACACATGTCAGAAGGGCGTGGCCAAGGCCCTCGGCCCCCTACTACCCTGGCTCAGGAGAGCCCAGGGCACTTCTGCTTTTATTTTCTTATAGAAAGAATGGACTGATGTACCAGTCAACAGAGATGTTCTCTTGCCCTTGGCCAATCCAATTCATTTATAAATAAGTTAACATTTCCATTTCATTGTCAATCTGTTGTGAGTCCAGTTAGCTTACGTCAGGTGTACATTCATTTAACATTAAATTGATTTTTATGATGTACAAAAGTATTAGCCAGGCACAATTCTAGGAGCTAGGGACACAGTGGTGAACCAAACCGACAACTCCCTCTCATCCCTTATCTATAGATTCATTCTAATTGGGAAGACCAGACATTAATAATACAGTTACCCAAATAAGTGAATATCAACAATCTGTGAAAAATGCTATAATGTTTACTAGGAGAGCATATTAACCCAAGACACTGACTTAGTCAGATGGATCAAGAAAGTCTTCCCTGAAGAAGTGACTTGAGTTGACAAAATAAAATGTTGGTGCTTACAAAGCTTAGGACTCTACCCTGGACTGTGGCAATCCCACAGATATGGTGCCACCAGTGGTCTTCCCAGGTACAGACTAAATCATCACTCTACAGGGTGGCCAGTCAGCTCAGTTGGTTAGAGCACTGCCTTATAACACCAAGGTCACAAGTTCAGATCCCCTTACTGGCCAGCTGCCAAAAATAACACAAAATAAATCACCACTCTACAATACTATATTGTGTTTTGCCCTTGTCTTTCTGAGTGTGTATGCCTTTGTCTTCTGTCAAGATTATTTGTGCCTCTTCTCCTTTTGTGCTGTGGTTACTCAGCCCCCTTTGGATATCATGGAACTTGTGTCTTAGCACACTTTGTCAATGTCTCAGATAAATGAACCAGTTAAGACTATCTATGCAGAGTACCTACTATCATAAAAGATGACAATACATTCAGTAGCAGCTTTATCAAGATCTAATCACATACCATACAACTTAAAGTGTACAATTCAAACAATTTTAATATCTGAAGAGTTGTGCGACCATCACATCAATCAATTTAGAACATTTCCATCACCCCAAAAAGACATCCCCTGCATACCCATTAGCAGTCATTCTCCATCTCTCCTTTTATCCTCAAATTTCTCAGCATCAGGCAACTACTAATATACTTTCTGTTTCTATGGATTTGCCTATTCTGGAGACTATGTGGTCTTTTTTGTTTTTTTAAAGATGACCGGTAAGGGGATCTTAACCCTTGACTTGGTGTTGTCAGCACCACAGTCTCCCAAGTGAGCTAACTGGCCATCCCTATATAGGGATCCGAACCCATGGCCTTGGTGTTATCAGGACCACACTCTCCCAAGTGAGCCACGGGCTGGCCCTATGTGGTCTTTTTTGACTGAGTTTCACTTAGCATAATGTTTTCAAGGTTCATCCATGTTGTAGCATGTACCCAGTACTTCATTTCTTTTTATTGCTTAATATCATCTCATTGTATGGATAGACATTTTATTTATCCTTTCATAGGTTGATGGACATTTGGTTGTTTCCATTGTCTGGCTGTTATAAATAATGCAGCTTTGAACATTTGTGTACAAGTGTTTTGGGTTTTTTTTAATTCATGTGAAATTCATGCAACATAAAATTAAACTTTGTGTGTGTGTGTGGCTGGCCAGTATGGTACAGGGATCTGAACTCATGACCTTGGTGTTATAAGGCTATGCTCTAACCAACTGAGTTAACTGGCCAGCCTATAAAGTTAAACATCTTAAAGTGAACAATGTAATGGCATTTAGTTCCTTCACAATCTTTTACAACTACCACCTCTATGTACTACCAAACCATTTTCATCACTCTAAAATAAACCCCCCTACAGATTAAACAGTTACTCCCTATTCCCCTCGTCCCCCCACACCTGGCAACCACCAATCAGCTTTCTGTTTCTCTGGATTTACCTATTCCGGATATTTTGTATCAGTGGAATCATAAAATATGTGACCTTTTGTGTCTGGCTTCTTCCACTTAGCTTAATGTTTTCTAAGGTTCAACCAGTTGTAGTAGCATGTATCGGTATTTCATTCCTTTTTATTGGCTGAATAATATTCCACTGTGTGGATATACGACGTCTCATTCAGCTATGCATCTGTTGATGGACACTTGGGTGGTTTCCACCTTTTAGCTATTGCGAATAAGGGCTGCTGTGAACACTCACAAGCAAGGATTTGTTTCAAGTACCAGTTTCTTTGCCTTTTCTCTCTCTCTCTCTTTTTGGCAGCTGGCCAGTACAGGGATTGAACCCTGGATCTTAATGTTATCAGCACCATGCTCTAACCAACTGAGCTAACTGGCAAGCCCTTTTGAGTACCAGTTTTAATTTTGAGGGGTATATACATAGGAGTGGAATTGCTGGGTCATATGAACAATAGATCTTTCAGAAGAGCAAGAATTGGGGCCCGGCCCGTGTCTCACTCGGGAGAGTGCAGTGCTGATAACACCAAGGCCACGGGTTCGGATCCCATATAGGGATGGCCGGTTTGCTCACTGGCTGAGCGTGGTGCTGAGAACACCAAGTCAAGGGTTAAGATCCCCTTACCGGTCATCTTTAAAAAAAAAAAAAAAGAAGAAGAAGAGCAAGAATTGGACTATTAAACAACTCAACCAGGAAAATTTTTACAAAAGAAAGAACAGCAATTTCAGAAAATTGAGTGAAAGGAGCTGGTGGTGATAGTGTAACGCTTTACACAAACGTAATAATTCAAGCTAGTGTCTGCAGTTCACGTATATCAATATCACAAGGTTCCTACATCGCATCGTCCCGGTGAGTTGAGAAGTTCAGACACCACTATTAACCTCATTTTATGTGAAGAAAATTAAGGCAAAGCGATTTGAGGTAACTTCTCAAAAGCACAAAACAGGAATCAGATTCAGGGTTTTGGATCCCAAGCTCAAATCTTTAGTTGTTAATCTTGTTTCAGTCCTTTTATTCATTTAGCTTACTGGAGCAAACACGGTAGCCATGAAGATAGTGCTGGAAACCTAGGAACTGGAGGAAGAAGACTACAAAGTTTCAGGAAAAACAGCAGCTTTCTTGCCTAAAGACGAGGGCCAGGGAAATAAACTATGGGAGATAGCTTGTTTCCAGCTTCATGGTCATCTCTATGATTTAGAAATGTCAGTGTAATTTAATATACCACTGTTCTTTATAATGTTTTCTAAGGGAGTTCGTAGACAATTCTTTTGGAAACCACAGAGCACAGTTGGGAAATAGCAGAAACGCTATGCAAGTCTCTTTATTGAGAGTTCAAGAGGGAATAACCCCTATGGAAGCCAAAGGGACCAATAGAGACCGAGGGCTTAAACAAGATGGTGGCTGGTACAGGACCGCTCTATCTTTCCGGGTGAAACTCTATGGCAGAGCAGTGTCGCACAGTTCAGAGAAGTGAAGCTGACATGGGTGGCAACCCGACCACTAGCGCGCTAGGTAGAGTGGGGCGGAAAGATCTCTCGCGCATGTGTGAACTGGGAGGGGGAAGGATTTCGAGAGAAGGGGCCCACCCCAAGTGCAAGTTTTCGGAAACGCGTGAGTCGTTTAAGTCCAGTTAAAGCCGAAATGGGGCGTTTCCTAAGACGCATGCGTCCTAGAAGACAGAAGCAATACAGTGGCGTGGTCTTTTCAACGTCCGGCGTACACACGACGTCTGAGGTGGAAAGGGCGGCTAGGATTCCCAACACGCATGCGTTCTGAGACCGAGGCGTTTCCTTCACAGGGTGTGGAGCACAGGGCTCCTTATTGCGCAGGCGTAAGGACTGTCCGGTAGGGCGAATGGTCTATCAAGGGGGGGAAGAGGAGGTTGAAGGCATTAAAAAACCGGGTGCGCCTGCGCGTTGCCGACTGGTTGGAAGAGCCCAGCATTTGCGAGGGGCGGGGTCACGTAATGGCGTCATTGGATGGTGGTGGGAGGGAGGGTGGAGCTCGGGGAGGGTCCATGCGCTTGCGCAGTGCGGGGGTGGAGGGCGGAGGAGACAGATAGCACGCTTGCGCGGCTGTCATAGGGCTGCTTGGTTGGTCAGTGGGGAGTCGGCGCCTGCGTAGTAAGACCCGTGTGCTGCAGCGGCGGCGGCGGTAGAGGCGGCGGTAGCGGGCTCGGGGGCAGCGGTTGGGCTCGCGGCGAGCGGACGGAGTTGAGTCAGTGCGTTCACGCGAGGTGAGAGCGGGCAGGACGCGCGTGCGCGGAACCTTGGCTAGGGCCTGGGAGGAGAGAGAGAGCTGCACGGGGGTCGGGGAGGGGGCAGAGGGGAGCGGTGGCCACCGC